TATGACTCAGTTGGTTGAAGTGTTGTAAGGGTTGTGGGATTGATTCCTGGTCAGGGCACATACCCAGGTTATGAGTTCGATACCCAGGTTATGAGTTCAATTCCCAGTTGGACTGTACAAGAGGCAGCCAATCGATGTTTTTCTATCTCTCTGTCTCCCTCTCCCTTCCTCTCTCTCTAAAATCAATAAAAATAAATAAGTAAACATTTTAAAATATATTTGAAAACTAAAGTTGAATCAAGTAACTTGTCTAAGTCACAGCTAGTGGTCAAGCCTCACTTTGAATCCAAGATCCAGGGTTTTAACCACAATTCTAAGATGCAAAACAGATTGGGGCACCTTTATTGTGCTAAAGAAAAATATTAAATTAAAACACAGTTTATAATTGTATATATTTAATTTTATATTATTTAGAGCATCAGTGAAAATTTTTATATATTTAGAATTTTACTTTAAAGAGAAAACTATTCCATTTTAAGTTTATATCTCATTTTGTCAAAGTGTTTATCATAGGATTTTTAGAAAAAAAAGCCTATTGTTTTTCTGAGTTAAATTAATTTTTTCTTGCTTTAGAGAAGATGATTAAGATAATAGGCAGATACATACGTACATGTATATATAGAAAAATTAGTATTCAATTGTTATATATAATAAGGGGTACAGTAGGCACAATAACAGTCCCCTAAAGAAGTCCACATCCTAGTCCTTGGAACCTGTAAATGCGTTGTTCCATGGTAAGGGAATATGAAGTTTGTAGATGAAATAAGGTTGCTAATCAGCTGACCTTAAAATAAGGAGGTGAGTCAGGTGGGCCCAATGCGCATACAAAAGTCTTAAATGGGGAAGAAGGAGAAAGAAGAATCAGAACCAGAGAGAGATTATTGTGAGAAAAACTCAACTGGCTGTTGCTGGCTTGGGAGATGGAAGGGGGCCAATAGCCAGTGAAATAGGTAGGCCTCTGGGAACTGGACAGGCAAGAAAATAGATTCTCCCCTAGAGCCTCCAGAAGGAAAACAGCACTGCTGACACTTTGGTTTTAGCCCAGGGAGACCTGTTTTTGGACTTCTGACCTCCCAAACTAAGATAATAACTTTGCATTGTTTAAGCCACTTTATAAAAAAGATATAGGCAGATACAAAGTAACTGAGAAGTTACTCTATATAGGAGATAAAATTTGATTTACATTCTTTCTGTGAAATCTAATGATCTATCGTTTAAAAGTAGCCTTTACCAAAACATAAAAGTGTAAAGGGTACCCTGGATTCTAAATATATGAAGGTAGTAGTCTTGTCTTTAGAGTGAAATTTCTCATAGTGAACCATATTTTTAAATGACTGATTCAGTATATTCAGTATATTCCTATTCCATCTCTGTAAATAATTGAGAGAGTATTACAGAGGTTTCTACAAATCAGTAACTCTGGAATTTTTAGATACGAAGCATCCTTTAATTCTATAAGGATAATTTTTATGTATTATAAAAATGTGATACCTTGTGTACTATCATTAGACCAAAGAATCAGAAATCTTAAAGATACTTTTTTGTATATCTAATTTTATGAGCTAAGACAGTAGTCCTATATTTAAAATGTATCTAAAAAACAATATTCAGGTATGTATTAGGTAGTTCAAGTTCTGGTCATACACTTAAGTGTACTCTAAAGTAAAAGAAGCATTTTAAGTGAATAAGAAGGACAAATGTAACTCTATGGATAATCTAACCCACACATACTTTTGATCTATGGCTTTTTTACTATTATTTTAGTGAATATTGATGAACACACTTGATTTCAGGTTTGTCTTAATTTTGACTCTTAATTATTATTGCCATTTGAATGAAAATTGGTAGCAGCCACAATTATATATGTATGTATTTTTATATAAATTAGAAGCTTTTGATTAGACTGTGAATAGACCCTTAATATATCTTGGATCATTTTCATGAAGCATTTCCTGCATGTATACAGCTATAATATTAATAGCTAGTGTCTTCTTTGGTTTCAGATAGTCCTGTTTGAAGATACATTGGAACTCCCATGAGGCTATAGTAATTTCCATTTCAAGAAGTAGAGCTAATAAAGGCAAACTTGAATTACCCTAATAGTTATTCAATTTTTGCTTAGTAGCTTTCAAAGTGACTTGCCACTTTACAGAGTGGGGAGAGACTAACAGATGGCAAACCTGTGAGCTGCAACCTCTGCTTTTGCCCCCAGCGTCATTACATGGGTCATTGTATTAGTGTTTAAAGCCTTGTCCCTAAGGCTTAACCCCTGGGAATTCTGTGATCATACTAATTAGAAGTTGACCATCTTTGTGTCTAAGCATGCTATGAGCCTTTTATTTTTTTTAAAGGACATTTTATGATAGCCTTAGACATCATCAAAACTAATTAGTATATGCATTGGTTAATCTTTCTGAAGAGAGTAATAGTGATAAGTGAGAAAATAAGGTCTTTGAAAGGACTATGCTGAAGTAACATAATTAGTAATCTTTTACCGCCTTAGTGGTTATTTTCTTATGGGTTATTGTTTCATATATCCATTGAAAATAATTATTTTCTTTTTGCCACTAAAAAACTTATAAAAAGATTTGAAATTCTAAATTTCTATGTGGAGGGGAGAATTAACATAATATGAAAAATATTTAATTTATTATAGACCAAGATTTTGGCTGGAAATTAAACCTTTAAAATGACATAAAACAATTAATTCTATGCTAGATCTAAAGAGAGTTATCAGTTGCTCTACAAAAAAGATATGTAAACAGTTTCCACATTTGATATCTTTGAAAGTTGAATCCATCTCAGATCTGGGCCATTTGTTAATGAAAGCACAAGAAAAAATATTAGTACAGGTATAGTTCATGGAATCCTAGAATTAGGAGGGCCTTAGAGACTATCTAACCTAATTTTTTCCTGTTTTAGATGAGGAAACTGATACCCAGAGAGGCTTAGTGACCTGCTGACAGTCATAAATGTGTAGAACCGGAGTTTTATTACAGACCTCTTTAACCTATTCCATGCATCTTGAAGTCAGTATTAATGTAAAACTAAGATTATTCTGGGTATCTGCTATATCATGAAATCATTTTATTTAATATTTCTATTAATTAAGTTTAGGTTTCTCTCCCTTGTTAGGGCATAGTTTTTCTGTTTTGTTTTCCAGGCATACGAGTGAATTTTTGCACTTAAAACCTTTATAGAATAATAAGAAAAAAAGTGTCAGCAACTCTGTGTCTTTGTACCTATTACAGTCTCTAGAAATAGGCATGAAAGTTTGTGAAGAAAGTGTAATTAAATCGCACTTGTGGAATAATGAGTTCTGAGCCAGGAGTAGCTCTGGGAACTGAAGTTCATTTATAGACTGTTTTCTAAAGCTAAGTACCCAATATACTCTTCAGCCAGAAATGTCTGCAAGATCCTGGACATCATCTGGAAATATATAGGAAATAAAACACAGCATTTTCTGACTTTATGCAAAATTATAATGCATGAAATATTGGAAATAATTGAACTCGTCTCCATTTTTCAGTTTCTACAATTTATTCCTTTAGCTTGTTGGTGGAACACATCCCCTATATACACAGTTTGTTTTTATGGCAAATGTTTCAAGACATTTTAGAACTCTTGAGTTATCTTTTAAAAACAGTAGCCTTGTGAATAAAACACCAACTTAACTATAAGAAAATTTGGATTCCACTACTGCCTTTCCCCTGAGTTGCTAGGAATACAGTAGGCACTTGATACGCGTGTATTTGAATCAACCGGGACCTTGTTGCCATTGCGCGTTTCAGATTCCCTAATTGCAAGTTGGAAGAAGACCTGTTCCTTGCTTGCTCTTGTAGGGTGTTATTTTCAGTGTTTAATATGTCGAGCTGCTTCAGAAAAGTAGGACTGTTATATAAGCAATACATGTTCATGTTATAAAAGGAAACTAGTCTTTGTCAGTGCATCTTCTTAAATGGCGGCACACTACTGATCATTGTAGGTATAGTGATAGGAAGTCTAAGTGATGCGGCAATTTATGTTTTTTAAAGAGCAGTTACTGCTTTTTATATCTTGTTACAAAATTTCAATTTCTGTCATCAAAAGTATTGTGTTTATATGTTTATGGTGCTATACAAATCAAATCGTTCTTTTAAGATCTTAAAATCTGGGGGATTGTGGGGAGGATGAAGAGGGTAAAGGGGGTCAAGTATATGGTGATGGAAGGAGACTAGACTTTGGGTGGTGAGCACACGTGGAGTATACAGATGATGTATTATAAACTAGTACACTTGAAACTTACATAATGTTGTTAACAAATGTTGCTCCAATAAATTTAATTAAAAAATATAAAGTATCTAAATGGATTGCTATTAATAAATTTTTGTTTATAAAAAATTTACAAGTGTATTAAACAAATCCTAGATACTGGACAAATAGCAAAAAAGTTTAGACAAATGAATTTCTCTGTGAGTACAACCAGGAAGAGAGAAGAGAATATTGGCTATGGACTCAGAGAAACAAATTTTAGCATTTGTTTTGAGGGAAAAATCACTTTATGTTTTACTTGATAGGAAGAGGGACATACAAGTAAGAGTCAACATGTATCAAAATTCTTGAAGAGTTAATCCAACATAAATAAACAAACTTACATGACTTATTTGAAATCGCCAACTTCTCTTTCGTGGTTTTATTTCATTTATTTATAATGGTTTCCTAATCCTTTCCTTAGAATGTAGATCGAAAAGTCTTGCCCTTTAGAAATCATTCAGTTACATAAAATTGCTATATTTAGGGACATAATTATTAAGATATAGGAGTACAGAACATTTCTTCTTTTGCTCTTGAGATTTACAGGAGGCGGAAAGGGACTAGTCTATGGAATGGATCTGAAACAAATCTAATAAACTTGGGCTTAATTAATTTGGGTAATTAAAAGTACACTGACTCTAATGAGACCTGGTACTTGGTTTTTCTAAAAAGGATTATTCACTCCTTTTCTCCTCTACTTCCCACAGGAACCCAGTGTCCTCCGATTGCAGCACAGGACCTCCCTTGTGTTTTAAAGGCTGGCTACCTTGAAAAACGCAGAAAAGGTAGACTGAAAGATTCTAATGAAAAAGCTCAAAATGGTTTTATCCTTGGATAAAAGATGCTTGCACTATACATGTGGAGTCAATATTCTCTTTAGATGATTGAAGAGTTCTCAGACTCTAAGATCTGGAGAACATTATCCAAACCAAAAAAAATAGAGCTTGTAGCTCTAAATAATTTTTATAATAAAACATTTGATCAGGCTTTTAGTTATCAACCTCAGTTGTTTGTAAATGATTCAGGAGCTGTTTTCTGCCCCTTAGAGGGAGGTGAGGGCCACGATTGTAATCCCAGGGATGGGATTTCTCACCATTATCCCCTCACCAAATAACTGGTTCTCCTGCACTTGACCTACGTACACCGTGTCTGCTGTGGTCCAGGTCAAGCCTGGCCCATTTTCCAGCATTTTCTATGATTCATTCAGTGTTCCTCTCTGTTGGCTATGATAATTGGGAGTTGACCATATGGTCTCACTCTTTCAACACCAATATATAATGGAAATGAACTATGGAGGTGGTGTTATGATATGGGAAATGAAAAGCAGAAAGTCTCTTTATTACTATGCTGCTTATCTCTCAGGGAGTCCCTTTGTGCCTTTCTATTTATATTCCATTTGCTTTTCTTAGCTCTCTTAGCTGACTTTTAAAGCTGAAAGAGATAATAGAAATAATCTAGGTCAACTCCTCCCCCTTCTTTTTATAGCAGATGAGAAAACGAGACCCAGATGAATCAGTTATCTCCAGGCTGTACAGTCAAATGCTTTTTGACCAACCCTGTCAGGAAAATGTGTTAGCCGCGCTGTGCTGTTGATACCATAAACGTAGCAGCTCTATCTCTGCTTCACGTTATTTTCGCTTTGTTTTTCTCTCTTGAAAAGAAGATACAAATGAATTAGTCCTAGAATTTTAGAGCTAAAAAGGAACCTTAGAAATCATATTAACTCATTTATCCTTTTACAATAAAGAAATGATATTATGTTTATATATGTTATGTATATTGTCTAAACTGTTTCCTTTCCCCCTTTATTGTAGATCACAGCTTTCTGGGATTTGAATGGCAAAAACGGTGGTGTGCTCTCAGTAAAGGAGTATTCTATTATTATGGAAGTGACAAAGGTAGTATTGGTTTCGGTTATCTCAACTTCTACTGCGTGAGGGCTTGGGAGCCATTTTTCACACACACCCCCTTTTTTGGTACAGAGTAAACTGAAAACAGATGGAGAAAGAATAACTGAGAACTTTAATAATTATAGTCTAAGACTGATTTATAATTTTATTTCATTATTTGACAAATTCTCCAAATTCCAGAATGCCCTAAAAGTTAATACAATTATGTTTTATTGAATTAGCAAAGAGAGTAAAATAACTTTCATCTATGTAGCCTTTCACCTTAGGAAATATTTATCATCCAGGCTACAGTTAGAGAATCTCTGGAAAAGTTAAGACCATTAGGATTGTGAGAGTTTAGCTATCTAAGCACTTTAGCTATGTTAACTTGTCTAACTGCAACTGTTAGGTAAGGTACTATTATTAGCCCCATTTATTCTACTATTTGGAAAACAGAAAGAGGTCATGGCCACAGAGCTGGTAAATGGCAGATCTAGGCTTTGAACCAAGCATAATGGTTAGAGTTCGTACTGTTAACCCCTATTGTCACTATATTAATTTAGAAATAACAAGAAACATTTTGTAACTTCATTTGCTAATTAACAAATCTCTTAGTCATAGTTCATATCATTTTAAGTTCATTATTTGAACAAATAAAGTCACAAAATATTGAAATTTAAAGAGTGTAAGCTTTTTTAGTTTTGATATTTCCTAGGAAAAGAAGGTCAGAAATTGAATATTATAAAGTAAAGGTCATATAGAAATAACTAACATTCATTTCCATAAAGAATACTTAAGGAGTGAAAAGACATAAAAGTTTATTATCACTGAATTTAAGCTTTCCTATGGAATTCTTATCAGTGTTGTCTGTAAATTTATGCTTTATTTGACATTATTTGCAGATTTTAGCATTTTTTTCTTATTATAAAATTGGGTAGATATAATGGATGAGTCTATTTCAGATAAATTTGAAATACATACATGATGCTAGAAGTTGATCTCACCTTTTGCTAATTGAATTAACAATTTAAGAATTAATTTAGTTGGTAGTTTGTATTCTGTCACTAATTTACAATATGTTCAACTGTAATAATGGCATCAATGAAGTATAAACTACAAATAACTGTTAACAGGCAGTCTTCTTTCTTCTGCTAAGGGTAAGTGATTTTGTCTGAAAATTTAGAGTCCAAGTTCAGTTATGATTATCATATGTCATTAATGTGCATTACTTATTATAGAAATATAATGTTGAATAGTACTGTGAATTGAGATCAAGCTTTTACTTTTCTGTAAAGAAATATCCTTGATTTTATAAGGCCAAAAGAAAGAGGTTTCATAACCTTATGACTTTGGTCAGTTAGGCTTCTCACTTCTAATTTCTTTGACAATCAACGAATACTAATGTCTGTTTCCCCCATGCTCAGTCCTAACTGGTCTATACCAACTGTTAGATCAAATATTTGCAAGTTTCCAAAAATCTAAGGAGTGTTTATATTCATTTCAAAGGTTAATATTCAATAAATAATTTCGAGGGGCTTTTTGGGGGATGGGAGGTATTAGTTAAATTCCCATGTTTAGTTTTATTTGATGAGACCTTTTGGTAACAACATTTTGTAATTTGTATTTTAACCACTTTGTGATCTATTTAGCCAGCTCCACCACCACTGTTCTAAAAAATTTACTATTCTAGCATTCCTTTTTTATGTAGATATTTGAAGATCTGGTTTATATTTCCTTAAATTCTTCCCTGTCTGTTACTATGAAGCCTCCTGTTTCCATGGAGATTTCAGATCTGTACTTAGTGGTTTTTTTTCTTTGTAGCTGCTTTCTTTGGAATTCGTAGCCAGTTCATCTCCTTTTAGGGATTTGAAGGGGAAAAAAAATCTATCTTTAACAATTTTAATTGCTTGTTTGTTATGATCCTAATTTCCTTCCTTTGTATCTTTTTCTTTCCAGAAAAATTTATGTGTCACATGAAATTTTTATTTTCTTTTGTGAAATTGGATAACTGATTTATATAGTCTTGTTTACCGTGTGAACCATTTACCTAAACTTTGGAAAGAGCTATTTAGATATATGAGAACTATAATCCTCCAACTAAGCAGGATTTAGATAAATGGATTATAAAGACATAGAAGGAGTTGATACCACTTACTAGGTTAAACTGCACTTTGTTACTGTTTGACAGATACATAGTTCATATTTTCTAACATACTGTGTGCGCCAAAACCATTTTGACCCATCAAGATAGTAATGGCTTAGAAAGAGCAGTGCCAGCCTCCAGGGTAAATAATGCACTTACCTTTGTATCCATAAATATTATCTGTATTTATTATTCATGGCCATTTGGGGCCCATAAGTAATAAATAAATATATATATATATATATATATATATATATATATAGAGAGAGAGAGAGAGAGAGAGAGAGAGAGAGAGAGAGTACATATTTCATCACTTCATAAAATTGCATCCACCCTTTCATCTCCTTTCTCGTCCTTTGATTGTTCGAATCTCATTCATCGAATTTGTTTGATCCTAGATGCTGAGACTGCCATCACAGTAATCATTCATTGACTCATTTATTTATTTGTTATTTGATAAATATCTATTGGCTACTTGGTGGTTACGAGGCACTGGGAATCCAAAAATAATCCTGCCTTAAAGGTACTCACAGTTGTTGTTTTTTTATCCTCACCCGAGGACATTTTTCCATTTTTTGTTCAGGTAGAGTGGGAGGGAGAGAGAAGAACAGAGAGAGAGAGAGAAACATCGATGTGAAAGGAACACATCGAGTGGCTGCCACCCGCACAACCGACCAGGGTCGGGACAAACTGCAACCGAGGTACGTGCCCTTAGCGGGAACCGAACCCGGGTCTCTCTGTACCGCAGGCCGACGCTCCAACCGCTGAGCCAAACCGGCCAGGGCAAGGTACTCACAGTTTAAGGGAGAGGAAGTTGTGGGATTGGAAGTGGGGGCTGGATGGATAAACTGATCATTTCAACCAGGTATAATAAGTGATTTAAAAAAATTTTTTTCCCTTTATTGATTTTAGAGAGAGAGGAAGTGAGAGAGAGAGATAGAAACATTGATGAGAGAGAACATCGATTGGCCGCCTCCTGCATCCCCCCCACGGGGATCAGGCCCACAACCTGGGCATGTGCCCTGACTGGGGATTGAGCTGGCGACCTTTTGGTGCATGGGTTGATGCTCAACCACTGAGCCACACAGGCGGAACTATAATAAGTGATTTAAATAAAATGTCTGGATCACAAAGGAGGAGTGGCTAACTGCCCAGGGGAGCAAGGGAATACTTTCTAGTGGAGACGATGTCTGGCCTTAAATAATGAGTAGGAGTTTGTCAGGTGACAAAGGGTACAATGGGCATTCCAGGCAGGGGGATAGCAGAGAGTCTGAGTTGAAAAAGCCTTGGATGAGATCAAAGCTGGAATCAAGGCAGAGCCTAGAGAGAGTGAAGGGAGGGACACATAAAGCTAAAAGGCTGGGTCAGGATCTGATGAAGCATAGGGCTTTATGATGAGATTTAGTTTTTAGGAAGTAATTGTAATAGTATTGTGGAGGATGGATTGGAATGGAGAGAGACTGGGTCAACAGAATCATTTAGGAGGAGACTGAACACAGTGTAGGCAAGAGAGGCTGCTGAGAGGCGGATTGAAGATCAGTGCAGACCCCCCTGGCTCTAAATTCATGCTCTTCCCACAGCTTGGTTGTTACCAGCCCCTTCAACATGCCTGTAAATGATGGCTCATTGAGGGACCTGTTGCAAACTCATGTTTTATGTTGTTTTTCCATTTTTCTTTTTAGCCTCCATATGATCTTGAATCAGCATTATGAATGTTACTTACCTCTTATCACTTTCGAAAGGGGAGTAGTTTGTAGTATTTTTTTTTCTCACTTAAGAGGTTTTATTGCCCCTATCCCCACTCTCCAATTAAAGCAAACCTTAGCTCCATCCAGCATGTGGCAGCTGCAAGTAGCCTGGGTCCCACGAGGTCATCCTAAATGTATATCAAAAGTTATTTATTACTCAGGGAGTTGTAACTTTTTCTGTGTTCTATCTTTTCAATGTAGAATAAAATTCATTAGCACATTGGGCTTAATGCAGATAATTTAAAATAAGACCTTTAGGTTGGCAAGGAAATAAAATGTTTAATTGAAATTGACCTCTCTGCTCTCTCACTCCCGCCACAACCTCACCACTGATAAAAATAGGATAAATCTGTTGAGTTTGGATGAAAATTATAAAGCATCTTTTGATGTTGAAATAGCCTCAAAGTTCTCTGTGCATATTTTAAAAATATTGTTAAAGGACAGAGTGTACAATTGTCTGTTGTTTTATAACAACAACTTTAGTAATAGTCGTAAAAGCTTACCTTTTTTTTCTGATTCATTTGATAGAGGCATCAGCATTTTATAATTGGGTGAGAATATGTATAAAATGTGTGAGTGAACTCAAATTTTAAAAGTTTATGTTATAATTTTCATGTAAAGAAAGATAATACTTTTGTTATTCTTTAAGAAAGGAGAATAAATAGTTAATTCTACTTTTAATCAAAATTATTGTAATTTTATAGACTTTGGGGCCTTTGATATGCAATTATTAACTTTACAGTTTATCACAATAAATGTGAAATAAAAGGCCTTTATTTCTGCCTTTATATATAGTTAAGAGACCTTGTAACAGTATAGAGACATTAAAATGTACATCTGTTGTTTCATAGACTTTTATAAACATGTAGAAATATTCAGGTACAGACTAAGTCCTATAAAGGGTCTGATGATGACAAGTCATGTTGTTTGCAATAAAACAGGACACAGTTTGATTTAAACTATATCTACATCCATATATAGATTGAAGATATATAGAGATTGAAGGCAGATATATTTTAAATCACACTGTGCACTGCTATGACTATTATATAAATATAGATATATGGATGTTGCTGTATCTATCTGTGTATATAGAAAGATAGATACAGCAACATCTA